ATCCATAAAACTAAAAGGCAATCTTCGGAATGGGAGAAGATATTTGTAAATGACCTATCTAATAAAGGGGTAGTACCCCAAATCTATAAAGAACTTATCAAACTTAACACCCAAAGAACAAATAATCCATTTCAAAAATGGGAAGACATGAATGACATTTTTCCAAAGAAGACATACAGATCACCAACAAACACATGAAAAAATGCTCAACATCACTCATCATCAGGGAAATACAAATCAAAACTACAATGAGATATCACCTCATACCAGTCAGAATGGCTAAAATTAACAACACAGGAAACAACAGATGTTGGCAAGGATACAGAGAAAGGGGAACCCTTTTACACAGTTGGTGGGAATGTAAAATGGGGCAGCCACTCTGGAAAACAGCATGGAGGTTCCTCAAAAATTAAAACTAGAACTATCCTACCATCCAGCAATTGCACTACTAGGTATTTACCCAAAGGATATAAAAATACTAATTAGAAGGGATACATGCACCCCAATATTTATAGCAACATTATCAACAATAGCCAAATTATGGAAAGAGCCCAAATGTCCATCGACTGATGAGTGGATAAAGAAGATGTGATACACACACACACACACACACACACACACAATGGAATCTTACTCAGACATAAAAAAGAATGAAATCTTGCCATTTGCAATGACAAGGATGGAGCTAAAAAGTATTATGCTAAGTGAAATAAGTCTGTCAGAGAAAGACAAACAGCACATGATTTCACTCATATGTGGAATTTAAGAAACAAAACAAATGAACATAGGGGGAAAAAAGAAAGAGAAAGTGAGGCAAACCAAGAAACAGACTCTTAAGGAAGAGAACAAACTGATGATTACCAGAGGGGAGGTAGGTGAAGGGATGGGTTAGGTGATGGGCATTAAGGAGGACACTTGTGATGAGCACCAGGTGTTGTATGTAAGTGCTGAATCACTGAATTCTACACCTGAAACTAATATTACACTGTACGTTAACTGGAATTTAAATAAAAACTTGAGGAAAATCAATAAACATTAATTTTTAAGAAATAAATAATTTTTTTAAAAGTCAGGGGTATAAAAAATTATACAAACATCTATTATGGACTGTATATATTCAAATAATTCATGAAATAATCTCTCTATGCAAGAAAATACTAAATATGGCTTCAAATAAAGGAATATATAAACAGCAATTATGAAAGCCAGACCAAAATACCCCAAGCAAAAAAGAAAAGAAAAAATTAAAGCAGAGAATACTCCAAACTAAGTTTCTACAAATGAATCACTTTTCAATGTTTTAAGTACACTGTAGTTTACAAAAGAAAAATTTTATTTTACTCTAAAAATCTAGAAAGACCCACTTTATTTATTTAAAATGTCTAACGGAATGTTAGTTCTTTTTCCACCTAACAAAGAGGGGGTCTACTCATGGCTTTAGGTTATATTATCCATTTATTCAAAGTGGAAAAACTACAAGTGGAAAGTACAAAGTGGAAAAACTAATCTTGAATGATAATACCTCATTCACTTATATGAAAGGGCTCATAATGGAAGGAGTTAATACAATGGTTTTCAAATTATGTCCCTGGTTATGTCTGACAGAGGAACTCTTTTATATTTTATTTATTGGACTTTTGAATAAAATTTTGTTTGCACAGGAATTTTATTCGTAAAAACAGTTTTTAGTTTGAAAACCCATCACCTTAAGGCTAAAGGATTTTAGCCCTATTCAAGCCTTAGCAAGAGAAATTGGGATATTTAGGCTATAACCAGGCCAGGCAAAAGTTCTTTTTGAAAACAACACACAACTACTTGGTAATAAGGATTCTAAAACTGCACACCATATTTTAATGTTCTCAACTATACACTAAAATTAGAAGCAGTAAACATATTAGAAATATTTCAGGCCTTTAAACCACACAGTATAAGTTGAAATTCAAGCTCTGTCACTGACTAGCTATGTATTCTTGGTTTATTTAATTAACTTCTCTGAGCCTCAGTTTCCTCTTTTGTAAAATAAGTTATAATGCCGTATTTTACAGAACTGTTTTAAGATCAAATAAGATAATGTATTTGAAGCACTCAACACAATATTTGACACAGAAAAAAATCAGTAATAAATGACAACTATTATCGTTACTAAAAAAATATTTTGTATCTTACTTTTAAAAAGCACCCACACAACATCTGGCACATAGAAAGCATTCAACAATAAATGACAGCTATTATCATTACTAACGAAATACTTTGTATCTTACTTTAGAGGAAAAAAAATTCTAATAGATTCACCTGTCAGCTTTTTTTTTTTTTTAAAGATTTTTATTTATTTATCTGAGAGAGAGAATGGGAGACAGAGAGCATGAGAGGGGGAGGATCAGAGGGAGAAGCAGACTCCCCGCCGAGCAGGGAGCCCGACGCGGGACTCGATCCCGGGACTCCAGGATCATGACCTGAGCCGAAGGCAGTTGCTTAACCAACTGAGCCACCCAGGCGCCCCTCACCTGTCAGCTTTTTAATAAGAGGAAACATGCCAGAAAAACAGAGTATTATACTAGTTGGTTCCTCTGTTTCATTCTGTGAAAGAACATAAAAATATTTTTTTTTCCATCTACAAGGCATGTGATTATTGATGGCTATAATATGGGTACTTGGAAAAGATTTGTGTAATCATAATAGCATTCTTTTTTTTTTTTTTAAAGATTTTATTCATTTATTTGACAGAGAGAGAGAACACAAGTAGGGGGAGCAGCAGGAAGAGGGAGAGGGAGAAGCAGGCTCCCTGCTGAGCAGGGAGCCCAACTCAGGACTCGATCACAGGACCCCAGGATCATGACCTGAGCCGAAGGCACTTAACTGACTGGGCCACCCAGGTGCCCCTCACAGTAGCAGTCTTTTTTTTTTTTTTTTTCACAGTAGCAGTCTTGTGAGATGCTTAGGTTACTTGAAAAGCCAATGAATGCTGATATTTTGATTAAGCATCTGCTTATATAATATAACAGGCTGGACAGTAGAAACAGTTTTATACTATAAGAACTTTAATGTAAGAAATAAAATCCCTCTGCATTTAAGAATTTTATTTATTTACAAAGATTTTATTTATTTATTTGAGAGGGAGCAGAGAGAGAGAGAGCACATGAGTTTTTGGGGGGGAGGGGCAGAAGGAGAAGCAGACTCCCGGCTGAGCGCAGGGAGCCCTGGCTGGGCTGGATCACAGGACCCTGGGGTCATGACCTGAGCCAAGGCAGTCTTTTAACCAACTGAGCCACTCAGGCACCTACACAGGTGCCTCCATTTAAGGGTTTTAAATTCTGACCCTTTATTCATCCCTGTCGTCTTTGGTTTGTGTTGTTTTCTACACTGAACAGGGCTCTCTCTCTGCCAGTAAAAATCCTTTCAAATACAAGCTCAAATCCAGTCTTCTGCAAATATCCGTGATCACTGGACAGTGGTCAGTTAATCATGCTACTGAACATAAAGCACATATTATGATTCATACCAACTGTTGTCAAGTCCTTTAAAGTTCATAATGCATTTTCACATTTTATTTATCTTATTTGTGCCTCAAAAAGCCCTGACTAAAGTAGAGTGAGAATTAAAATTTTATCTCCCAATGGCTGACTCCAGGCCTGGAGAATGAATGCATTAAATAAGAAAAATAAAATCTCCATTTTAACAATATGAGAAGACCGAAGTGTAAAGACTTAATGAAGACTACAAAAATCTTAAGAACAGCAGTTCAAATCTACATCTTCTTCATCACCCTACTTACTGCTCAGGTTAATGTCTCTCTCCACAGCAGAAAACTTAGAGGTAGAGCAGGAGTCATTGCCTTTACTCCCAAGAAGTTTTAAGAATTCAGACTTTTTCTATTAATAAAGTCCTTGTGTTTTGTAAAACCAAACTTAAGACAACAATTTTTCTCCTTGTTTCTTTTGGTTCTTACCTATTTTCCTAACTAGATTTTGTAAGTATTTAAGTGACACCCAAAGAAGTGACTATCAACTAAATATTATCTAAATGGAAAAACATTTTAGGCACTAATATTAGAATAAAAAAATTGGGGGAGGGTTTGGTAGATTCTCCACACTGATTAGTTAGTAAATAATCTAAAAATTCCCCCCAAATCTTGTTTATCTCTATTTTGTCAAATATTTGAAATATACCAAAACTGCTAATATACAAAGCGTAATTGCCTTGATTAGAGAGAATTTCCAATTAGATGAAATTCTTTCATAGCACACTATTTTAGGTTAATGAAGAACTATGTTTCAGTATACAAAGAACTTTAATTCTACCTTAACAGGGAAATTTCATATTCCTCCAATGGGCATTTACTGAGTAATGGCTATATACAAATTTACTGTGCCACTTTATAACAGCACTCTATAATCATATGTAACTACACTATCTAAAGCCTCTACTGAATAGAAAGACACTAATCTAATTAGGAAATCATTTGTAACCACATACTTTTATACACTATAGTCATAAAAACTAATACTTCTTTTAACAGTGTATTTAGGATATCAAAGACTTCTATAACTTACAGAAGTTATTTTGATTTTTCAGCCCATTTTTAGTGCCAAGTGAGAACAAATTCAAAGCTGGTTAGCCTACTTAATTAACAGGAAAAAATAAAACATCTTATTATTTTTAAAATATATTTTTATTTAAATTCAATTAACTAACATATAGAATATTATTAGTTTCAGAGGTAGAGTTCAGTGATTCATCAGTCTTATGTAACACCCAGTGCTTATTACATCACGTGCCCTTCTTACTGTCCATTTTATTATTAAATAAGATTTTATTTAAAATCACCCAAGGGGGGAAAAAAAGTCACCAAGAAAGTCATTCAAGAACTGTTAGTACCATTCCACTTAACAATGTATGAAAAACTTAACATGAAGGCATGAACTTGAAAACAGAAAGTCAATTCCGTATACATACTCATCAACTTTCTTCTTATAATTTTTTTTAAAAGTGCTAAAACCAACCTGGTATAGAAAGTGTTGGTCCCCCTTGGTAATGTGATGATCCTGTATCCTGGGTCAAGTCAAACAGTAACTCTGAAGAATTATTAGACACAACTCGTGATGAGTTCGTTATATAACCCTGTTAAAATATTTCAAAGGAAGAATGTTACATTTACTCACCACAGTTACAATTATTTTGTTTCATAAGCTTTTATAAAGGTAAATTTAAGTGTATGTCAATATTATAACTTTGATGACTCAGTAATTAACAAGTTATAAAACACAGAGGTAATTATTACTATCTGTCAAAATCATCTACTAAAACTGAAAGCAAGCTCTTACTTACAGCTGGTTTGTTCCTAACTAGCCAATTAAAACAGGGCAAATTCTAGTCTTTTTTTTTTTTCAAGAGAAAGGAAACATATATACCCATTTTAAATCAGCAGGATTGATACACTCTAGAGAGCTACTAAAAATGCAGTATTCCCATCAAAGAGCAAACAGTAAAACTTCGCAAAATCTATGGGTAAGAGGAAAAAAACAGGAAAACATACTGACATAAGTACAAATTTAAAAGCGTCTGTATCTCTATAAGCCCCCCAGACAAAATATCAGGGCAAACAAATTGGGAATCAATCTGCAATACTGTGCATCAGGATTAGGGATGAATATAGCACATGATTTGAGTTTTAGAATCATCTTTATTGGAAAAATTTATAAGGCAAGGGTCAGGAAAAGAAAGAATGCCCCCCCGCCCCACTCTTCCTGCTATTCCAAATAAAGCCATGCAAGATTGGGATAATCTCCCATCTCAAAGAGCAAATATGAAAGCTGCCTGATCAACAGGGTAAACCCCAATAAGAAAGCCAGGCAAATGGGTTAGAATGAAAGCTATTTATAGGAATAATCTGGGACAGCTGCTCTGCTCCTGGAAGCCTTAGGGCTCAAGAGAAATTTTAGCCTTTCTGTCAGGAGAAAAGATGGTCCCAGAGAAGATGATCTCAAGAAGAGTGAAAAGTATGAGATGAATGATAATGTGCTCAAGAATTAGGTAGTATAAATTTGTGTTAGCACACATAGATATTTAGTATAATTACGAAAAGTGTGATCAATTTAAGGATGTATAGCCAATACTATTACATATTAAATATACTGACACACTCACAAAATATATTCCAATTCTATTTTTAAAAGACCATCGTTGTACAGTAAGCACTCAGAGTGAATTCTGGACCATTCTATATGTCATAATATACAAGCAAAAGTTTCAGGATTAACAATGCTTAAAAATCAAAAGGGAGGGTCGCCTGGGTGGCTCAGTCATTAAGCGTCTGCCTTCGTCTCAGGTCATGACCCCAAGGTCCCGGGATCGAACCCCGCATCAGGGTCCCTGCTTGGTGGGAAGCCTGCTTCTCCCTCTCCCACTCCCCTGCTAGTGTTCCCTCTCTCACTGTGTCTCTCTCTGTCAAATAAATAAAATCTTAAAAAAAAAAAAAATCAAAAGGGAAACAGTCACCTTAAGAGAAAAATGGGCAAAGGCTATAAACTGAGACACTTCAAAAGCAAAATACAAATGACCGATACATAAAAAAACTCTTTCCAACTTACTAGTCAAAGAAATGCAAATAAAGACAGGGGCAATTTTTAACTACTGAACTGGCACTGTTTTAAAGATAATAATATGTAATACAAAATAACTGGATACTCCTCTTAAAAGTATTCAAGTCGTGAAAAGAAAGAATGAGTACAGAAAAATATAAGACTAAGAAGAAAAAACTAACTGTAAAGTGTGATCCTGAATAGGACTCTGGGAATGAAAACTGGCATTAATTGAAAAACTGGTAAAATTCAATTAAGGTTTGAAGTGTAATGTTAATTACCTGATTATGATACATAAAATGTTAGCATTAGGGGAAACTAGGTTAGGCATATATGAGAACCTCTGTATTATTTTTCTTCTAAGTCTAAAATTAGCTTGAAATAAAAATTTAAAAATTAAAAAGTAATGATAACATTCACTATTGGTAATAGTAAATATTGGTTATATTTTGGTACAACATTTTTGCATGAATTATGTTGGCAGCAGCTATCAAAGGCTTTATTAAGTTCACATCGTTTGGTCCAATTATTCCACTTAAAAAATTTATGATAAGGAAATAAAGATGTTTAATGAGAATTCTTTTTAATAAGAAAAAATTAAAATCTGTATGTCCAACAAAAGAATGGTTAAATAAATTATGATAGACTATCATGCAAACACTAATACTATGTTTTTGAGAAATATCCAAGGGCATAAACCCAGTAGAATGTTCAGAGAAAAAAGAGGAATACATATTTGTATACATAGTATGGTCCTGATTTATATACTCTATAGTATGCTGCGGGGGGGGGGGAAATTCAAAATATAGTATGTACCCTTCTCTCTTTCTAAACTTCTCTCCAAAATAAATATTAAAGATAGAAACACAAAGGTTTTATTTGGTTTGTGCTTATTAACTAAGGGATAATTAAGTTTTCAGAATTTTGGTTTGCTACTAACTTTTCTATTGACATTGGTGTGTTAAGTTATGGAAACAAAATCAATGAAGGGAGTATAAACTTTCAGTTATGGAATAAATTAGTCATGGGGATGTAACGTACAGCATGGTGACTATAGATAATAATACCATATTGCATATTTGAAAGTTGCTAAGTGTAGATCTTAAAATTTCTCATCACAAGAAAAAAATTCTGTAACTACATATGGTGATATAGATGTTAACTACATTGCGGTGAACATTTTGCAATATAAATAAATATCAAATCATTATGTTATACACCTGAAATTAACATAATGTTGAATATCAGTTATACCTCAATAATAAACGTTTAAAATTTTAAAGAGATGAGCTTTCCTCACCACACTGCATAAATTGCAGAATAAATAAAATACCAAATAAGTAAATAGTTGTTGTTTAAACAAAAAAGAAGTTATGGAAATAGGTATCGAAGTAACTCAAACCACTTCTAGAATCTGAGGCCTAACAAACCAAAATCTGCATTTGAACCTTAACATGTAATATAAAAAAAGCGTAACCATGCTCAATCTTATTTCATAATAAATATTTTCTCCAAATATTTGCACTTAAAAAATGGAAAATATTCACTTGTATTTTCCAAAATAGTTCTTTAACAAAAATATAAAGTTAACACTCTTAACACTTTATTAGGAAACAACTCTGGTTAATTAAGCTCCGGAATTTCAGCAAGCAGGCACACATTGTTCAACAATAACTGGTTAAAATAATTCTCCAAGAGTGAAAATATAAAAAGTTCAGAAAGATATCAAATACAATAATAAGGGTAGAATAGACACCAGACTGGGATTCAGAAGACCAGCACATTTAACTATATACCTTGGATAAGTCACTTCTGAGCTTCAAGTTATTCACCTTTCAAACTGAAATAATAGTCACAATTGTTTTAAATGTACTTGTACTTCATGATTCATGTATGTATTAAGTCAAATAGTTGTCACATTACTAATAAAAAACTAATATTATACCCTATTTTATAAATAGGTAAACTAAGGTTAGGTGTAGTTAATATAAGGCTCCCAATACAGTCCTGCTTGTTATTGATGGAGCTATAATGAGAACCCAGAGCCTGATTCCAAAGCTATACCCTTAAGCTAGATCACAATGACTTTACTATAAGTGATAATAATATATCCCTGCTATCTGTGAGAGTTCTGAAAGAGATGTTGAAGTATAGAGATATTCCATGAAAAAGTAAACACACACACACACACACATGACATAAAATGAAAAACTGTAATTATAATTTATTAAAAGCAGTGGCTTCCAAAATTCAGAGTAAATGCCCTTAAATAGGAGTCTCAATTCATCCCAGAATATGTCTGTCATTCTTAACTTTGCACATTAGAATGACTTGAAGAATTTTTTTTACAATACACCATTTCCAGGACCCACCCAGACCAACTGGCACAACCTCGCCTTTTAAAAACTTAACCAAGATTGGGAAACACCAGTTGAGGTGTTTTGACTTTAAAACTATATGCAACTAATGAATCGATCACTACATCAGAAAACACTAATGATGTACTATATATTGGCTAACTGAAAATAATAAAAAATAAATAAATAGAACTATGCCCAGAGAAATAAACATCTCAGAAATAGTTCTAGTTTCTAACTTTTATAACACCAAAGATACACACTTTCCCTTTGTTGTTTGTTTTTGTTTTGTTTTTCTCACTGGGTCCAATGTTGGAAAGATTTTTATTTATCAAACTGAATTAAATAGTAAAGTTTCTTTTTCCAGTTTTCTATCCTGCAAAAGCCACAACTTATGAAAAGTACACTGAGTTAATTTGATTCCAACTAAGAGCAAAAGATCTTTACATTTTAAGTAGGTTTCCATCTTTTGAAATATTAGGAATAACCTGCAGAACCTTAGAATCCAAGCTTGAGAGTCAGTGGTCTGGGTAAAATATCTCATTTTAGAAATGAAGAAAATGAGGCTCAGAGAGGTTTCAACAATGCTTATTAAACAAGGCTGAATCAGCATTCAAGTCTCTTGCTTCAATCTAAGTTTTTTAAACTACTGGTCCAGGGCTTATATCACTATTAGTTATTATTTCAGATAGTTATTATCTCAAGTAATAACAATTCAGGGAGAGAGAAACGTTTGCCTAAACCTATTCTTTTATGATACATACATCTTCAAAATATAAGTGGGAGTTGAATTTACTTAGCCATAGATTTAAAAATCTGTAGCCTTCCTTTTCATTGTTAAATAAATTACAATTAAAATAACTCTTCTATGAAAAATAACACCTCAAAATATCAGTTTTTAGTGCTAACACATCTGCAGATTACCTAATAGTAATATGATATGAAATACAGGAAAAATGGATTATTCCTACAAAAATATTTGGATTCAATTCTGGTTTTGAACTTGAATATTTGCAAGAAAATTTACAGGTGCTTTGGGAGACAATAACGGAATTACTGTCAAAAGAACAAACATTTTCATTAAAATTTATTATTTCTCTAAAGCCAGTGCCAAATAGCTTACGATAAGCATGACAAAACCACTGAGTTAATTCAATTCCAACTAATAGCAAAGAATCTTTAC